ACCACGACCGATTTTTCAATTCCGGAAAAAAGTACAAAATTCGGTTACTTTCGGTATGCGCAGAAGTTTCAAAATTGTTTTATCAAGTAGCCACCACATGGTTTCCCGATAGAAAATTTGGTTCCAGATCGATATCTGTTTTCGATCATGGAGAAATAGGCTCCCGCTTAAAAAAAAAAATAGAAAAAATAATAATAATAATAATAATTTTAGTAAAAACAATAGTCTTTCAGACAAAATCTGAAAGCCTAATTAACAAAAAATTCAAAATTATGACCATGTTCTCTCGTGTTGTATGCTAGCATTTACACACAAATATTTATGGTATCTGTTCTATGTCGCATTCATTTATACAGGCATTCAAAACGCTCAATAACATTTACCAAAACACATTTCATCGTGACCAACGCCCTCTAAATGAATATACCGAATGTTGTCTTTTGCAACATCATTAAATCATATACATGTACTTATACAGTATAACCATATGTTCAGATATTTTTTTATAACAATCAATGTTATCATGTCAGCTATTATACTACAGAAATACAAGTTTCCCAAAGATGATTTAAGTTGATATTAAATTAATCTATTAATTGTAATCGCCTGTACACACAACCTATTTAAATTTTGTAGTTTCGTCAGTATAAAGGGTGGTATTTTTCGCCGACTTTAAGGTTTCCGAAACATGTTTTAAAGATACACCGATGCGCTCACGATGTTTTTGAACTGTAGATTTTGAAGGAATGTAATTCGATTTTAGTCCCACGACAGCCGAACATGCGGTTATAACCGCTTCTACGTTACCATTCGAAACGTTTAGATTTTTAAGTTCCATGACCAAATTATGAAATTCTGCTGGGTATCTTTGATTTTCGACATCATACAAAATTACTTTGTTCTTCCTAAAAGGTCTGGACTTGCAACCATTTTTTTTACCTGCCAATTGTTTTTTATTTTCATTATTAGCCCTAATGCGAATCATTTCTTTTTTAGTCTTCCGAAGTCGATTTTTTAACTGGGCGATTGCGCTTTTATGACGCTTTGACAATCGCCGCAAATACCTTTTTTTCTATTTAAATCAGTTATTAAATTAATTTCACTAGTGTCTGCCGATGGAGTCTCGTCCACTATCCCGGGAAAAAATGGGGTGTCAAGAAAATCGTTGTATGACTTTATACATTTATTGGACTTAGCCTTACTTTTACCTAGCTTCCTAGTCTTTGTCTTCAGTCTGACCAGTCTATTGTGAATGTAATTGTCACCAAACGTCACACAGTCATGTAAAGCAGTTATGATTGACCAATGCTCCGTAGTTGTCGGAAATTTATTAACAATGCCTAGTATAAGCCTATTTGTGATTTTTGCCATGGGTAGTTTGGTTATAGTGCTCAAATCATAGGGGTACTTGTCCAATCCAATGCTGGATAGCAAATCATCGGTGGACGTCATCTTGCAGGGCTCAGTCTCCGATCTAGAAAAAACAAGCCAACAGTGAGGCTGATGTCCCCCGCCGAAATAAAAAACAAAACAAAATAAAGTTATCGTGTCCCAAAGCATCAACCAATCAAATTGCTTATCTCTGCTTACCCTAAGCGGAAAATGCTCATCTTCGAACTCCATCAAGGCATTGACCTAATCAACACATACACCAAGTTTGAACATTCTAGCTCAATTAGGAAGAGAGTTATCGTGCCCCAAAGTATCAACCAATCAAATTGCTTATCTCTGCTTACCCTAAGCGGAAAATGCTCATCTTCGAACTCCATCAAGGCATTGACCTAATAAACACATACACCAAGTTTGAACATTCTAGCTCAATTAAAAGTTATCGTGTCCCAAAGCATCAACCAATCAAATTGCTTATCTCTGCTTACCCTAAGCGGAAAATGCTCATCTTCGAACTCCATCAAGGCATTGACCTAATCAACACATACACCAAGTTTGAACATTCTAGCCCAATTAGGAAGAGAGTTATCGTGTCCCAAAGCATCAACCAATCAAATTGCTTATCTCTGCTTACCCTAAGCGGAAAATGCTCATCTTCGAACTCCATCAAGGCATTGACCTAATAAACACATACACCAAGTTTGAACATTCTAGCTCAATTAGGAAGAGAGTTATTGTGTCCCAAAAAGTGTGACGGACAGACAGACGGACAGACAGACAGACGGACGAACCCATTTTAATAGTCCCCTGCTTTCTTCGAAAGGCGGGGGACAAAAACTAAGTCTGTCGATCAAGGATTATGGCTACAGAATAATTAAATATGATTATGAAAATAATTTACACCAAGCTACAGAAAAGTGTCTGGAAAATAAAGACTACCAATAAAAAATTTGTTTCAGTTATTTTCCTGTCTCAAATAGTTCTGCGTATTTAGAGCTAGCAAATATTTATTTCCTAAAGTAAATAGAGTGCCACGTAAACGAAGGTTGTAATCACTAAATAATAGTAAATCTCAAAATGTTGTAATGAGTTTATCTTGCCACGCTCATGGATTAAAAAGTTAGAAATGAAACGAAGCTATTACAGCTAGCTCTGTACCCAAATCGCCCAAATCAAAAATTAAATCAAAGTTCGCTATTAAATAAACACGAAAGTCGAAGAGCGTAATGAGTGTATTTTTAATTGGCTTTATATACCAATTCATGTTTGTATAATACCACGTGGAATGCTATTTATGACGTATATTTGCTGCGACATCGAAATTCACGTGCGCAAGACTACATTTTGATCACTTCAGAAAATCTCACGGACGGTGCAGTCAGGCAGATAACTGTGCATGTTTATATAAGGACAAATAATTGACCATTGAACCACTCTACTTTTGTCTGGAGTACAAAAGAACACAACTCCCATAAATCATTGATAAAATGGACAGTAATAGTGACATATGATTGTGTAGAATTAGACGTCCAGCCATCTGATGTTATCGCTACTCGACTCGTCTCACGTAAATGTAGTTGTAACTTATTGTAAGTCATCTTTAACACTCTTGTATAACTTTGGCACTGCAGTGTCAGCAAAATAATGACGTCCTGGAATCGTGTATCTTGGTTCTAGTGTGGACAGCATGTGTTTAAAACCTTTATCCTCCACTACAGAGTAAGGCTTGCAGATCTTGTATGATAAATCTAGTAACACTCTCGGTTATTTCTGTAGCCCGCTTTGAGTTTTGTGGAAGTTTATTTTGAAATGCACGTTCAATTGTTGGATGTTGACCTTAAACTTCACCGCAGGTTGAACTGGCCGTCTTCTTAATCTTAGCAGACGAACTTAGACAGTCGCCACTAAGGTGTCTTGTCAAGTGAGTGCTGAGATTAGTTGTATTACCAGAATACTTTAGAATAGTTTTGCATATTCTACAAACAACTTTCGTTGTGTCACCTTTTAAAAACCCAAAGTTTTCCCAAACTTTAGATTTATATTTCGCTGGAGGATTTGTTATTGCGACTGTGTTTTCCGACATTTTGATTTTTACAAGAGCTACCATCTCTTATATTTACGTTCTAAATTTATAAAATTCTAGAGTAAAATGTCGTTTTATGTATTTAAATATGTATGTTTTATTAACTAAGCCTTATAACAAACTTTAAAATTCGGAAACAAAACGAAAAGGCGTTAAAATGTTGTTAATCTAAACCTACGAAACTAATGGTAATTACGGTCGTCCGCTATTTATAGTAACACATGTCAAGACTACTGGACATAGTTTGCGAAGTGTCATTGTTTCAAATAAAGTTTAGGGTATAATTTAAAGTTTTTAAAGTTCATAATTTATTGAGAAAACGCAAAAAAAAATCGTGAAAAATCGATTCGGCATCCCGCGATTCAATACAGGTATCGTGAGACGGTGAATCGCGATACATCGATTCAACGATATATCGTTCAAGTATGCGCAAATATCGAAAGGAACCAAGATCTTTTGGTTACAAAAATGTATTTCAAGTTTCATCTAAATCAGATGAAAATTGTGACCTCTAGATTGTCCATAAGCTAAAAACGTGATTTTTCGTATAATCAGGGGCCATAATCCATGAAGTTATGGTCCGATACACAGCTTTATTCAGATCACGATGGATGTAGCCAACTTATTTTGTTGATGATATTTGTCAAAATAGATCGACTACAGCCATTTTATTCAATTATATCAAATTAAAGAATCCCGATTTTTAAAATAATATTTCCATTGCGAATAGAAACGTGTGATAGAATCTGCTGTAACTAATATAAGGACTAAATTAAATATATTTTTAATGGTAACAGAGCTTTAGTTTGACACATAACAAATTGTACACACACATAATAAAATAGGCTAATATCTAAATTTCTATGAATTTTGACCGAATTAAAATTGGTTTGAAAGGCAACTTAAAGTAGCTCAGTCTCTAACTCACTATGATCCAAGGTCTTCCACATTGAAAACACAAATTATTTGTCAATGTAAATCAACATTGATATATGATCTTACCGCTTTTTTTCGCTTTGAATACTTCTTGAGTAAATAACCATACCAGTGAATATCGAAAAGAACCTATATTTCTAGTTTCGTCAAAATAGGATAAAAATTGTGACCTGTAGAGTGTCCACAAACAAATTGTGGACGAACGAATGGACAGGAGCGACGACATAATACGTCCACATGAAAATGTGGTAATATAAAAATAAGCTAAAAGCTTATATAAATTTGCTTCTTCATCTTCTGATCTAAAATACTGTCTGTAAATTTAAAGACCATCAAAAGATTCTATATCAAAGTGAAACGGGTGCCACAACTCTAGAAATGAAATGAAATGTGATTTAACGTCCAACTGTTCTATTCCAACTGGGCTAATGAAGACGGGCCAATGCCATCCCACTATGAGGGAAATTTTTGCCCAGACAGCAGCACTATGGCCTACTCTGATATCGAGCTCCAACTGCTAAAGGTTTTTTATGTACACTACAAAGATTCATCCCATCCGAATGACTAGACAGAAAAGGAATAAAATACATACCTGCGAATAGATAATATTTTCTCCTGTTGAAGAATGTGTACCAATAGCTTTACCTATAACTTGTGCTGTACCAACTTCTAGAGCCATTAACAAACCGCCTCCAGTTACTGTAGATATCTTATCATGTACTACAGAAAATTCTACATAACTCTGGGGTTGAGGACCACCTTGTGCCAGAACCTGCATACAAACATTAATTTCAAATCAGAATATGTTTGGCCACAATACACAAGCAAAAACATTGTGTATACGCCCACATTTTGAAAGAGATGGATAGAGAACAATCTAAAAACAAAAACGATATTTTATACAATCAGGGGCCATAATCCAGAAAGGTATGGTCTGAAATGCGCAAATATCAAAAGGGTTTCAGATTTTGGGAATATAAAGATATGAGGTTTCATCAAAATCGGACAAAAATTGTGACCTCTAGAGGGTCCACAACCTTTGTATTACATACTTATACACAATTTACGTACAAAGAGCGGCCATGTTGTCCACAGGCACTTGAAGGGATTAAAATAAAATTTCTTACTACTGTTTGACTATATTTTACAGTATTAACAAGGTTTATCAGCAGCCATTTTGTTTTGACTTGACGACATTTCGTCTCCTATCATCTCACAATACTCACTAGTTCTAGCACTTCCCGTCGTTTTTTATTGCCAACGAGATTTCATTTGATCCCTATACAGCTTCCAATGTAATTAAATTTTTCATTTTACAGCATTATTAATTACAAATGAATCCGAATTGTTATCACTTGGTCATTATCAACTTCGTTGGACCGGAAGTTGCACGAAATGAGATCGGTTGGGGAAGCCCTTATTTTTGATTGGTCGAGACGTGTTACTAAAACTAAAATTACTATTCATAGCTGACCGTGAATTAAGAATCTCAGAATGAGAGCTGAATACCCTCATTAGTAAGTAACATACTTAGGAAAATTGAATTGATCTCTCGGGCAGACAGGTAAAGTGGTAAAAAATTAATATAATATTTTTTTGGAAAAAATATTTTGCCTTTTAGTCAGCAAAATGAAGTGCACGAAATAATGTCCCCCTCCTCCTCCTCTCCACCATTGCCCATATTAAAACATGAAGATCACCTTTCTCATTTCTGAATACTGATCCCATACTATGGCATAGACTATAACCAATCCATTCTTTTTTTTATGATGCCAATGCCAGAAACCAGACGTCTGAGGTTTTAGCCCGATATCTGTTATAGTAGATTTTTCGGGCATCGATTATTATTTGGTCGTCATTTTTTCAGAAACTTATTTTTTTTAATTGATTAATGAATTTAAAATTTTTAAACTAAGTGTGAAAAAAACCCCGATGTATAGTGTGCCACTCCAGCGTAGTCATTCTGCTTTATGCCCGCATTTTTTGTTTGTGTGCACAAATATTTGTGTGCACAAATAGACAGACAGAAACAACACGATGACGTCCCATTACAACACAGTTGTGACTTGTGGCCAGTTTTTATAAATTCAAAAGCCTGATTTTGCTCTGGAATTAATACCAGGGCATTTTTCATTTTCACCCAACAAACACGGTGGTTGTGTCTTGGTGCAGTCCCTAGGCAAATTTCGCATAACGGATAGGTTAATGAAGGGACTGGGTGAACCAGACTGTTACATAAAAGATAGGTTGACAGGCAACGAAACATACACCCACAGCAGCTTAATCGTCCGAGCAGTCAACAAGAATTGTCGCAGATTTTTACTTTTTTTGGTAATGAAACATTTATAATACATTAAAATCTGATTAAGAGTAACAACTCATTAAGTAATTATCAGAAAACCATTAGAATTTGTTTGGTTTTTATAAAGTTCTGCCCCATGCTAACGTTTAGTGTACGAAACTTTTAACATCGTGGATTTAGCTGTTCAGGTCATAAAGATAGGTTGCCAGGCAACGAAACATATGCCCACAGCAGCTATATCGTCCGGGCAGTCAACAAGAGTTGTCACATATTTTTACTTTTTTCGGTAATGAAACATTTATAATACATTAAAATCTGATTAAGAGTAACAACTCATTAAGTAATTATCGGAAAACCATTAGAATTTGTTTGGTTTTTATAAAGTTCTGCGCTATGCTAACGTTTAGTATACGAAACTTTTAACATCATGGATTTAGCTGTGCAAGTCATAAAGATTCATTGAAAATCAATATACTTGTTCGTCTCAAGACCTTAAACTCTGTGTATCAATCTGAAGTCAATCGAATGATAACTTTAGCCTCTAGAGCATCACAAGATTTTTCAAAGTGATCAAGGGCCATAACTTTGGCAGTAATTATCCAAAATCGTTGCAAATCAATATGATTCTTCATCTCAGGGCCTCAAACACTGTGTATAAATTTAAAGTCAATCAGATATTAACTTTAGCCTCTAGAGCATCAACAAGATTTTTCAAAGTGATCAAGGGCTATAACTCTGGCAGTAATTATCAAAAATCATTGAAGATCAATAGGATTCTTCGTCTCATGACCTTAAACACTGTGTATAAATTTAAAGTCAATCGGATATTAACTTTGACCTCTAGAGCGTCCACAAGATTTTTTGAAGTGATCAAGGGCCATAACTCTGGCAGTAATTATCGAAAATCGCTGAAAATCAATAGGCTTCTTCGTCTCGTGACCTTAAACACTGTGTTTAAATTTAAAGACAATCGGATATCAACTTTAGCCTATAGAGCCTCCACAAGCAATTGTGGGCGCTGTACCGATGGACGGACGGGGGCCGACAACAATATACGACCACATTTCAATGTGGGCAAATAAAAATTCATTGAAAATCAATATACTTGTTCGTCTCAAGACCTTAAACTCTGTGTATCAATCTGAAGTCAATTGGATGATAACTTTAGCCTCTAGAGCCTCACAAGATTTTTCAAAGTGATCAAGGGCCATAACCTTGGCATGACCTCAAACACTGTGTATAAATTTAAAGTCAATCGGATATTAACTCTAGAACATTTACAAGATTTTTTGAAGTCATCAAGGGCCATAACTCTGGCAGTAATTATCGATAATCGCTGAAAATGAATAGACTTCTTCGTCTAATGACCTTAAACACTGTGTATAAATTTAAAGTCAATCGGATATTAACTTTGGCCTCTAGAGCGGCCACAAGATTTTTTGAAGTGATCAAGGGCCATAACTCTGGCAGTAATTATCAATGGGCTTCTTTGTCTCATGACCTTAAACACTGTGTATAAATTTAAAGTCAATCGGATATTAACTTTGAACTCTAAGAGCATCTGAAAGATTTTTTGAAGTGATCAAGGGCCATAACTCTAGCAGTAATTATCGGAAATCGCTGAAAATCAATAGACTTCTTTGTCTCATGACCTTAAACACTGTGTATAAATTTAAAGTCAATCGGATATTAACTTTAGCCTCTAGTGCGTCCACAAGCAATTGTGGACGCCGGACAGCGACAATATACCTATACATTTCAATGTGGGCGTATAAAAAAACAAAAGGGAATTCCCTTGACCTCATTTCGCGTTACTTCCGGTCCAACGAAGTTGATAATGGCCAAGTGATAGCGCTTCAGGTTTGATTTGTAATTAATATCGCTGTAAAATGACAATTTTATTTACATTGGAAGCTGTAAATAAAGAGATCACAAGAAATCTTGTTGGCAATAAAAACAACGGGAAGTGCTAGAACTATTGAGTATTGTGACATGATATTGTGAAATGGTGATATATCAAAATGGTTTTTAAAATTGGAAAAAAAATTGTGACCTCTAGAGAATCCACAAGCTAAAAATGTGATTTTTCGACCAATCAGGGGACATAATCCAGGAAGTTATGTTCCGATATGTGTGATTATCAAAAGGAACCAAGATCTTTATGATAATAACATATATTTAAAGTTTCATCCAAATCTGATACAGATAGGTTGCCAGGCAACGAAACATACGCCCACAGCAGCTAAATCGTCCGAGTGGATCGCCAAGGGTTGTCGCATATTTATTCTTTTATAGGTAATTCGGCATTGACAAGGTTGAACAAAGTAAAACAAGGGCCATAACTCTAGAAGTAATAAACGGAAATTGCTGAAATTCAATAGGATTCTTCTCTTTACTAATTTAAATGACGCATGTAAATTTCATACAGATCGGCAGATAACTTTTGATGTTAGAGCATTCACAAAGTTTAATAAAGTGAAACAAGGGCCATAACTCTAGACGTAATACGCAGAAATTGCTGAAATTCAAGAAGCTTCTTCGTTTCACTAATTTAAATAATGCATATAAATTTCAGAAAGATAGGATGATAACTTTTGGCGTTAGAGTGTTCACAAGGTTCAATAAAGTGAAACAAGGGACATAACTCTAGAAGTAATAAACGGAAATTGCTGAAATTCAATAGACTTCTTCGTTTCCCTAAATTAAATATTGCATATAAATTTCACAAAGATCGGATGTTAACTTTTGGCATTAGAGCGTTCACAAGGGCCATAACTCTAGATGTTATAAACGGAAATTATTGAAATTAAATAGGATTCTTCATCTCATTAATGTAAACAACATATATCAATTTTAAAACAATTGGATGATAACTTTTGGCGTTAGAGCGTTCACAAAAAATTGTGGACGATGCAAGGACAGACGGACAGACGGACGGGGGCGACGGCAATATACGTCCACATTTCTATGTCGGCGTATAAAAACTGTGGTCTCTAGAGGGTCCACAACCTTGATATACCATATTTTTACGCCGTTTGCGTACAAGGGGCGGCCATTATGTCCGTCAGCTTTTGTCCGATTTTCACGAAATTAAAATTGGATAAAAATTTTAAATTGGATAAAAATTGTGAGAGCTAGAGGGACCACAAGCTAAAAGCACGATTTTTCGTACAATTAGGGACCATAATTCAGGAAGTTATGATCCGATATGCGCAAATAGTGTGCTAAAGACATTAAGATGGGCTAGACAGATTGATATGTAAATACCTTCATATTTATATATGCATTTAAATGCTCAGTGGCAAGGTTTGATTCGTCACACTATTTGTATCCGTTCCCGGTGGAAATAAAACTCCAGAAACGAACGAACGAACTTACAAAGGTTGCACCAAGGAGAATACGCACAACGTGTATTGTTATTTGTTTTACAAGTTATAGTTATTCTCGTTACATGCAGATTAGCACATGTT